CATGATGTCACCAGTGCATGAATGAGTGAGTGCTTGGGAGTGTGAATGAGCGAATGGCGAAATAGTGTGAAAGTGCTTTGAGTGTGCTGCAATGCATAGAAAAGCGCTATATGAGTATAAGACCATTTACCATTTTCTCTTTTAACTGTCTTCTCTACTGTCAATCAGTGCAGTATGGGGAGTCAGGAAGATAGATGCCAGGAACCAAGAGTCAAAAAAAGGTTTTTATCAAGTTTGTATCTCAGTCTATTCTCAAATGGACATTGCAAACACCAAATTATAGCGGTATGAAGTGGCTGCATTGCTTGGAAACAACAGCTAGTATTTACATGCATTTAGCCTGCCCTGTGATAGACTAACCAAAAATTAGACTGTCTCAGAACAATGGCTGGTTTTTCAGTTTTAGTGCGTCATACAGCAGAAGTAAAGACAATACAACTGCAGCTGCAGTGATGACTAGGCAACCTTAACCAGCTGCTGTGCATGCACCACAAGTGAATTGTACCGGAGGATCAGAGAGGCTGGCCCACTGAATTCAATGAGAAAGTGTGTCCAATCATTTGGCTGGTATTGTACATAGTTTTGGTTTTGTTTTGCTTTTAGTAAAGTGTCTTCAGAACATCTCCTCTGTTGGAGGGAGGAACCATCATTCTACTGTGAGGAACCTTGGAGTCATCTTTGATCAGAATATGTCCTTTAAATCACACATAAACCAAGTATCTAGATCTGCCTTCTTTCACCTGCGCAATATTGCAAAAATCAGGAGCATCCTGTCTCAAAGTGATGCTGAAAAACTGGTCCATGCATTTGTTACTTCCAGGCTGGACTACTGTAACTCTTTACTATCAGGATGTCCCAATAATTCCCTAAAAAGCCTCCAGTTAATCCAAAATGCTGCAGCCAGAGTACTGACAGGAACTAGCAAGAGAGATCATATCTCTCCCATATTAGCTTCTCTCCACTGGCTCCCTGTAAAATTCAGAATAGAATTCAAAATCCTTCTCCTAACATACAAAGCCCTTAATAACAAGGCTCCATTGTATCATAAAGACCTCGTAGAGCCTTATCATCCTAACAGAGCACTTCACTCTCAGAGTGCAGGTTTACTTGTGGTTCCTAGAGTCCACAGAAGCAGAATGGGAGGCAGAGCCTTTAGCTATCAAGCTCCTCTCCTATGGAACCAACTCCCAGTCTCAGTTCGGGAGGCAGACACCCTCTCTACCTTTAAGATTAGACTTAAGACGTTCCTTTTTGATAAAGCTTATAGTTAGGGCTGAGCCTTCCCTTAGTTATGCTGCTATAGGCCTAGGCTGCTGGGGGCCCCATGATGCTCTGAGTTTCTCTCCCCTCCCCTCCTGCTCTCCTCTCCTCTCCTCTCCTCTCCTCCCCTCCCCTCTCCTCTCTCTCCCTATGCTTCTATATGCCACCATTACACATCACTAACTTTGTGTCTCCTCTCTCCCATAGTGTGTCCTCTCTCTCTCCCTGTACCTTTCTGCAGGTTGCAGCCGGGGTCTGTCGGAGGTTTCTTCCGTTAAAGGGAGTTTTTCCTCCCCACTGTCACCAAGTGCTTGCTCAAGGGGGATTTGTTGGGTTTTCCCTATGTAATAATATTGATAACAGTAAGGTCTAGACCTTACTTTGTAAAGTGTCCTGAGATGACTTTTGTTGTGATTTGGCGCTATACAAATAAAATTTGATTTGATTCTATTTGATTTGATTCCAAAAAAAAAAGGAAAATAACTGAACGATTAATCAATGACTACCACATAAAAAAACTTCTCATTTATTTTTTCATTTATTTTTCTTTTAATTTGTCAACATCTCTATTTGCCACTTGCCAAATAGCTTAGGTAAATTAAATTACCATAATAATATGTTCAGATGATATTAAAAAAGAAAATGTATTCTAATCACAATTATGTTTCATAAATATTTTCTGGAAACATAATACCTGCTCTTGCTTAAATAAACTTTCCTACTGTATAATAAGGTTAATAAATGGAACTTTCGGAAACATGAATAAATTCAGTCACCCAAGCGTCCATCTGCTCCACATCCCAGTTTGCCTCTGCAGTTCAGACTGAACCCAGAGTTTGTTTAGCCCTAAAGCTGTTTCCCTGGAAGGCTTTGATTTCCGTCCAGCAATGTACTTTCATGTCATTTAACAAAGATTCTTTATTACCGTTAGCCATCTGCCCTTTTAAAAATAAAATCATTTTATTTTTAGCTTTGGTTCATTTGAGGAGCCCACTGAGCTGCAGCAACAGCAGATTCAGCTGTTAGATAAAGCCAGAAACATACCTTCTAACCCACCTAAGTTAAACAATATTACATCAATAACTTATTAAATTAATAATTTCACAAGGCCCCGTGAAAAATGGACATTCTCAGATAAATAAGGGGACATGTGCCATGTTGTACAGTACCCACTGTTACGTCTTTTCTGGGTTCTGAGTGAAGGCTGTCGACAACACAATAAACCACGAGGGCGCTGTAGAACAGCTTAAGAAAACTTGATGTTGAAGATGACAAAGATTTTGCTTCTCATTCAAGTTCTAAAGTTTGAAGGCATGTTGTTTTAAAAATTCTAAGTGGATTTATGAACATTTGTTTGTGATGGACATCAGAGATAGTGTTATCTTCAGAAAGGGTATGTCATGCTGAATCTAAAAATATGTGTTCAGATTTTACTGAGATGTAACTCCAAGAAGTGGTATGAATTTTATTGCAAAGTGTGATATCTGGATGAAAGTACCTTAATGGCCCCTCATTATTTGGCCCATGTACCCTTGCTCCATCTGTGTCCCACTTAAACTCCTTCAAAATATGAAACTCTGCTGTAAAATAACTATGTCAAAGAAATTATGTAGAAGTTAGCCAGAATAAAATAAATGCAAACACACCCACACACATATAAACTCATCCTATAGCACTTAAAAACAACTAGATTTTGCTTCAAGTGCTTTACTTACACTTGGTAAACATAACAATATAAAACATAAATTGGCAACACAGAGACAAATAAAAGTGATCAATACCCATAAAACTGGTAACACTGTTGGGAATTGAAAACCAAATTAAATTAGTAAAGAGAGCAAAGGTGGTGACAGGGGGAAGAATGTTCCACAATTTAGGTGCAGCTGCAGTGAAAGCAGGATCACTCCATCATTTACATCTTAATATGGGGACTTCTAAAAGTAGCTGACTAGATGACCTAAGTGCTCATCCATATCGGCAAAGTTGTAGTAATTCTATTAAATAAAGAGGGGCCAGGCCAACAAGGGTTTTAAAAACAAACATCAGGAGTTTAAATTTATTTTATCTATTATATATATAACACATTTGAAGGAACATGGACAAATATACATTAATAACCAAACCAGCACATAGTGCATACAAATACTTGCAGCAACACCCATATGCACACAGACTTGCACACATTTTTCTTTTTTCTGTCTCTGTATTACATCCATAATTAATAATGTGTCATGCTTAATAAAGCTTTTTTGAACCTGACATACACAAAGAAATAACTTGGGAATTTTAAGCAGTAAATCCAGGTACAAGCGAGTGCACACACACACACATACAGTTTACTCATGTAGGTGTATGAATAAAGCTCTAATTTCTTGTGTGTTTGTGCATGCCTGTTTGTACATGTGCATTTTCTGTTTCCTGTGTGTGTTTGTGCATGTGTACCAGTGTTTTCATCAACCAGATATATCAGTTACATCTCTGTTAGAGATACAACATATAAAATAAACATGCAGTCACAATTAAATAATGTAAATCACAGTAATTTTGTCGCTACTATAACACTAAAATATAGAAAAGCTATAATATTTTCCACAGTGATATTATTCTTAAAATACCTTTGACACTAAAATGTAGTTTTGAACAATAGCAATAGTTTTCCTTTTGTAAAAACTACTACAGCACATTCTGTTTTAAAGTGCTATGTGGACTAGTCTAAGTTCTTCTGATAAGTTAATTTTTTACCTACATGCAAAAAAAGACATTATTTGGAAAAATGAACTCACCTCAACAAATTATGCACTTGAAATAAAATACAATGTATGTCCTTCTGCAAGTTGCATTATTGCTCCTATGGGCATTAGGCATGCACTAAACCTGCCTGACATTGGACATAATCACAGTCTGGGTCATCCAGTTGACCCTAAGGACAGATGGTTTTTCATATTTGGGTTGCCAAATCTTTTGTCAGCAAATAATTATCCTGTTTGTTACTTAGCCACTGTTTCCTCTTGATGCTCAGTTAGCCTGATCTGGCGCTGAGTGAAGGAGCACCGGTCGACCACATGATGGTGTGGTTGCTGTGCCTCTGTGCCTACAGCTCACCAGTCTGGGTGTGGACAATGTGGTTGTGACTTAATAACTGACTGGACCTTCCTGGGATCCATTTATACCAAGCTGTATATAACCCAGGCCTGAGGAGTTGTGGTGGTATAAATATGCAGTTCCTCTATTTATGTAATCCATGCATGTCTTTAAATCTATGTCTGAGATAAACATATCAGCTTAAAAAAGGGTTAAAAAGTGTAGCATATAAGGCAATACAAATTTGTTTATTAGTGTTGCACATTTTCATACACAAAGGCAGTTCAGAGTATTTCACATAACACTTGCATACATAAAAACCCTGCAAGAAATAAAAGCATGAATGACCTTTTCATTTTAGCTGTTTTTAAGATGCCAAAATGATGATCTTGTTACAGCTTTGGTAGGGCAACTGAAAATTAAATAGACCATCCACATAGCTATAATAAGCATCTCTATAGTCTTGGAGAATTTGAAAAAAGGGGAAGGATATATACTAGGTTGAATATGAGGGGCCCAAGAATCAATCCTTGTGGGACACCATGCGTCATGGTGGTTCTTTCAGATTCATAATTACCCATACTGACTACACATCCCCTGTGTCCTATAGATTTAACAGAATTTCCAAAATTGTAGTTGTTAAATCTTTTCTGTTCCAGGAGTGTTCTCCATACGCTGCCCACCTGTATGATGCTGAAGATGCCAACACACCTATGAGGATGTTGCCCGGATTGTGTGGTGATTACTGCTTCGACTATTGGCATCAGTGTCGGTACAGTCTCAGCCTCCTCCTGGAGGACTTGGGTAACCCACAGCAGTTTTCAAACCTGACTTCAACAATAGAAGAAGATCGCAGGAGGTTCTGTGACTTTTTGGAGCTGAAAGATAAACAGTACTGCTATCCCAATGTGTTGACAAATGCAGGTATTGTGTATACATATGAGACAGATGTATATGTTCACTAGTAGGCATGCACTCACAAGTTAACATTGAAGTGTGAGGATAAAAGTGAAAGTGAATATGAGCTGAGGAAAAACTGAACAATAATGGTATCATAAAGTGACAGAATGGGCCACATCCACATCAGTCTACACTTATGGTAACAAGAAAGTGTAATTGTGAATTATGGAAAGACAGGATCATACCAGCGAATTTCATCCAGCGAATGAAGCATGGTTTGATCTGAAGCCGGTACAAATCCCTCAGATTCTCTTGTGAGCGATGTGATTTACAAACACCCTCTCCCTCCTCAAACATGTTCTTAACTCTGACCAGTTCTCAGAAGACTAACAGCTGCCACTCTGACAGCAGGGCTGCAAATTTTACTCCTGCTTTCTCCTGAAGTTAAATTTCAGTGGCAGTTCCTGCTGTCGTAGCGCTGGTAAATCAGGCACTGAGGGTATTTGTTTCCATTCTCTCCTCCATTAAATGGGAAGACCTTAAAATATAGACCAAACATGCAAATTACTGTGGTGCCGCCTTTCTGCCATATTTATGTGCAAAACCCCTCTGTGAGTCCTTAGTAAATATGAACACATGCAATTTCACTGTTTAGTGCCAAAAAATGAGCCGCAAATCTTATAAATAGTTCCCTTAGACACCTACACAACAAGAGGCTGCAGTAATCTTACACCACACCCACCTGTTTAGTCTTGAATACAGCTTTTCCCTCAAATCCATTTTCTGTTTTGGGTGATTATAATGATCCATGAATCTAGCCCTTTCCTTTATCATCTCCCTTTGTGTGTCCTCTTTTGTCTCCCCAGAGCTAAACGTCAACCTTGGCTTAGTACGTGAAGATCCTAAAGGTTGTCTGGAGTTATGTTTAGAGGAAATTGCCAACGGGCTCCGTAACCCTGTGGCCATGATCCACGCAGATGATGGAACACATCGCTTCTTTGTTGCAGAGCAGCTGGGTTATGTATGGGTGTATTTGGCCAATGGCTCCAGGATTGATCGTCCTTTCCTCAACCTCACCAGGGCTGTCCTTACAACGCCATGGGCTGGAGACGAGAGGGGATTTCTCTGCATAGCTCTCCATCCAAGGTTCACACACTCATAATACCATCCATCCATTTTCTATACCGCTTATTCCCAAACGGGTTCACGGGGGGCTGGAGCCAATCCCAGCCAGCTCCGGGAAAGAGGCAGGGTACACCCTGGACAGGCTCTGCACAGAAAGCCCCCGGGTTGGCCGGGGCTCGAACCCAGAACCTTCTCGCTGTGAGGCAACAGCACTGCCCACTCATAATACCAGTACCAGTTATTTGTGAGGGTTATACAAAGAACCCAGCAAGGGTGTTTTGCACAGTTTTTAAAGGAAAAGTTCACTCTGTCTACAATGTGAGAAGGAGGACTTGGACAATAACATTTAGCTTCTCTCCTGTGCTTAGGTTTACCACGGTCAGAAAAGCCTATGTCTACTACTCTGTGTCTGTCAGAAAGGAGGAGAGGATACGTATCAGCGAGTTCACAGTGTCAACACATGATGACAACCAACTAGACCACTCATCTGAGAGGTCAGAGGTTCAAAGAAGTGGAAATGATATCAGAGAGACAAAAACCTTTTCTGCTACTTTGTGTCTGTAAACTGCAAACTGATGTACTGTAGCCTGCATGATTTTGCATGGACATCCTTAAATGTGTGCCCTCAGTGTATTTTATTTATTTGTCTCAAATGACATGACTACATTTATTCATCCTACTATTATATCTTGCTGAAGAACCATTCTTGAGGTGGTAGAGCCAGCATCCAATCATAATGGAGGACAGCTTCTGTTTGGCCAGGACGGGTATCTGTACATCTTTATTGGTGATGGTGGGCGAGCCGGGGACCCATTTGGAAAGTTTGGCAATGCACAGAACAAGTCAGTATAATTGAACTAATGCACTATCTTTGGTGCATTACAGATGATTAGAATGACTATTGTACAGTATGCTGACCTAGCATGTTACATCACATTGCTGACAAAGCACAATGTTGCTGTAAGAAAATTACACAATTATGTAAATGTGTACCACCACAGGTGACCTGTAAAAACCTGCAAATTCCTTATGCGAGCAAAAAAAGGACTCATAACTACAAAGCCTTAGCCTTACATGTAATTTAAGATAATTAACCTAAATGAGATAAACACATCCCTTTCATTTCTGTAGGGATGTGTTCATCACTTGAACTTTTTTAACTTTTATTAGCCTCCATGACATTGTTGAGATGTTAGTTACATAAACAAATATAAACCTAAAACCAAAGTCTAGTCAAAACAGGTAAAGAGCCAGCCAGTTCTGCCAAGAATGATTGCCCATTAATTAAATAAAGACTAATGAAAAGGATCAAAATGATAGAGAACAGACTTTAAAACTGTTGGTCAGTGACAAATTTAAATGATTGCTTTGTAAATAACTAGTTGTCAAGGGTGCACAGCTTATCATAAACATTTATCCTTGAAACTTGGAAAACCCTGCACTTGTTTATTGAAATTCTACTTCAGGGTTTATTGACAACACCTCAATACTTCGAAATGAAGAGGGCTGAACACATTTGGATGTGTGGATGGGCATTAACAGGCTAAATGCAGGCACAGCTGAAAGGTTACTGCAGCAGCAGTGCGAATGAACTGTTCAGTCATTAAGACAAGCAGAAGTTTCCTTTAATAGAATACATACTATATTTTAACCAAGTAATGGTGGGGAAATGTAGAAGCCAGTTCACTGATCGCACTTTTACATGAGTTAAGATGATTGTTCAGATTCAGGTAAAGAACTTTGCATTAAAACTGAAACTTTCTTACTCCCTCGTCTAGGTCGACCCTTCTTGGCAAGGTGCTGCGTGTTGATGTTGACAACAATGATGATGGTGCCCCGTACAGCATTCCCTCAGACAACCCGTTCCTGGGGGAAAATGAAGCTCGACCTGGTACATCTCTTAAAATGTGTAAAATGATTTCGTCATGTCTGGTGACTTTTAAGATGAACTGAATGTTTAAAATTAATGGCACATTTGTAAATACAATCTAGATTAGTTTTTGGACATAATGTGTGACTGCAGCAGGACTTAGAAAACATATTGTAGAATTCTCTAAACACTGCAATTTTTAAATAAAACATGCTTTGATGCTATGATAAATGATTAGTCACTGTTCATTCTGGAATTGCTTTAGCTTTGCGTACATAGTTTCTGTAGATTATTATCTCAGTCGGTTCAAGGGTTGGATGCTACTTGTGCCAACTTTCTCACCTGTCTTTCTTTGCAGAGATTTATGCCTATGGAGTGCGCAACATGTGGCGTTGCTCCATTGACCGTGGTGACCCCGCTACAGGCCGAGGCAGAGGCCGGATGTTTTGTGGTGATGTGGGCCAGAACAAATATGAAGAGGTGGACCTTATTGTCAAAGGCATGGTGATTTTAGTTTGAAGCGACATTTCACTTTGGAGGGATATTTTACTTTTTAGCTTGAATACTTATAAATCCTGCACCCAAGAACAATTGTCATTGTTGTTCCTGTTTTGGCTGCTTGCTGTTGTTTACGGTCACCACAGCAGATCATTCCAGTCCACTGGATGCCCTTCCTGATTTGGCCCTTCCATTTTTTATCTGGGCTTGAACCTGATCACACTGACAGTGCTCAAGATTTTTCCACTGCTCCCAAAAGGAGCAGTTCGCTCTTAGAGTACATAAAATAGCTGTCATTATGTACTCACTCCCGTATCATATAAAACTGTTCTCTCAAAGACCACACGGCCAGACAGCATGGTTTAATCTCAGCCTTCACCCTAACAACTAAGGTGAACAGGGGTCTGGTTTTGTAGAGTTTCAAAAAGGGCATGAAATAAACACCAAATTACAGCTTGTTGTGCAATGGTTGCATGAGTCCAAAAGTATATTTAACATCAACTACTGGTCAAAGGTTTTTGAAGACCTCAAATTTTTTCCAGTTTTATTGAAATTTATGCAGCCCAGGCAATAACCTCAAATGGTACAAAGCTAAGACCAGAGGTAAAGAAAAAAAACAAGTCACCAAAAATTATACTGTACATTTGATTTTTATTTAAAGCAGGGCTTTTTCAGGGATCAAGTAATAGGTTAATTGATACCTTTTCTACAGCAGTGGAAGTCAGTGTTCCAACTTTTGTTGATTACTTACAACAACAAATTCTATTTGTACAAAAGTAGTGCTGGAAAAACCCACACACTCTGAAACGCTACTTGGACAAAGGCAGTCAGACTATTTCAGAGTTTCATCCTATAGAAGGATAATTACCCCAAAACACTTCTGGGCTGTGTAGAGGAAAAGAACAAGATGTCAGGTTTCAAATGATGGAATGGCAGCACAGTGTCCAAACTTTACTGCCAAAGTGAAAGCAAAGCAGCCTATAAACACAGCACATTTGTGGGAACATCTGCAGCAGTGCTATCTATTCAAACAAGACTTGATTCCAGTTGTAGACATAGTGCCACAAGTGTGTGTTCGCCTGTTGACTTACACTGATAACTACTATAAAATGGAGGTTTTCTACAACATTTGACTGATGGTGTATATTTACCGCACTATGACTAGGATGTTACACAATACATGCATAATTTTTGTCTAAGAAGTTGCAGTAACCTTGTCAATATATGGTTGAAGGGGGAAACTACGGATGGAGGGCCAAAGAGGGCTTTAGCTGCTACGATAACAAACTCTGTCAAAACTCATCTCTAGGTGAGTCAACTCTCTGACTTGCTTTCACTGACACAAGAATCCACAAACTGTATCAAATTCTGACACAGAAGGACACAAAATAGCTTCTGCAAAATGGATAGTGATATGAGCTGCGATGTGTTTTTCTGACTTTCATAAGTGACACTGTTGAGTAGGATTAGACTGTTACAGTGTGTATGATACTTCTGTTTTGCAAAAGATTCTCACCAGTAATGTTAGCAAACTGAAAGACTTTCTCAAGCTCCAAAATGTCCCACTTGTCTTATTTTGAGGTGATGCTTACATTACAACTTTGCAAAATTTTCACAGTGGTCTTTAATGCTACAAATGTTAATGGCAAACTTTCTAATGACGCAAAATGATAGTTATATAGCATTAGTTTAAAAATTTGGCAGCTAAGTCTTTGATGCTTTACTGTAAATATGCAATTTGACCTATTTTGATGCTTATCCTTCTATGCACCTAAGTATAACAATGTAACTCCAACACTGTGTTTTTGTGTGATTAACGGCATTAAATGATGCATTGTTTCCATCATCTGTGTTTGTGCAGATGACGTCTTGCCTATATTTGCTTACCCTCACAAGTTGGGCAAATCAGTGACAGGAGGATACATCTACAGAGGCTGTCAGATGCCCAACCTCAATGGACTCTACATCTTTGGGGATTTCATGAGTGGGTGAGTATTTCAGCCACATTCAAAAACTGAACATTTAGATATATAAGCTGATAACATCAAGTTGTAAGTGTGACTGAAGAAGCATAACCACTTTCAAATCAAGTACATTTCATTTATATTGAGCACACAGTTTACAGTAAGTATATAGATGTTTTTGTAAGGATATGTGTATATATATATATATATATATACAGATTTATTCATCTCTGTTTCTGTTCAGGCGTTTGATGTCTTTGAAGGAGAATGTCACAGGTGAATGGCAGTACAATGAGATTTGCATGGGCAGAGACCAGACGTGCAGATTCCCTAGACTCATCAACAACTATCATAAATACATCATCTCTTTTGCTGAGGATGAGGCAGGTAATGACTCAAGTTACTAAACTGTCTCAATTTCTGAAAGGTTTACAAGTTCCAGTAGAGGAGTAGTGCTCACTTTAAATCAGTTATGAATTAAAGAGATGAGGGAGTGTTGCACACATCCTGCCAAACTCAAATAATCTTTTCTCTTAGTTTGCTCTCTTTCTGAAAGTTACTTGGAGGAGAATTAAGCTGAAAAGTTCAAGCAAATTGCAAACCCCTTTATTATAAGACACCTCCTCTCATTTTAACTTAACACACGTTTTGTTATTGTGGGACTTCTCATCGCTTTCGCCATCACCCGTTTTTATGTTTTTCTCCATCTCTCCTTTACTGTCTTTACTCTCGCTCCAATCTGTGCTCTTGTAAATAACTCCCTCCCTCTCTCTCCCTTCCTTTCTTCCTGCTGTTCACCATATTTCCACCTCTCTCGCACTGTCTGCCTCACTCTCTCCCTCTTCCTCTGTTCATTTCTCTAGGTGAACTGTATTTCTTAGCCACACGAGCCCCGAGTGCCGCAGCCAGAGCAGGAGTCATCTATAAGATAGTGGATCCATCCAGGTGGCTAGATATTATACACATCACTTCAACAACAAATGCACTTTTATTATAACTACAGTGTTTGGTGTAGATGTTTTGGTTTAGATACATTTACTGCTGCACATATTTTATGGCATTGTCAAGAGGCCAGCTACTGTATAAGGTGCCCCTGAGAGTTCAATTCATCGAAACTTTAAACAACACACAAAAAGACAAAGCACATTATAATACAGCATCCTCACTAATTTGACACCATATGTGCAGCATTAGAAAAAATCTGCAAAGTGAGCAAACACCACCAAATAAAAACTCCCCTACCAGCCAGTCTTATAAGACTTCATGATGGCAATGATAAGAAAGCCTGATTTCTTATTGAGGCTCTGATTGGCTAGAGAGGTCAGTTCTGCTTGTGACCATGATAGATGGTGATACAAATCTACTTTCAATCAGCTATTATCAGCTGACATATCAACCCCACCAATTTACTAGTCTAGCTCTAATTACGGTAGAAGAACAGACTAAATTTAGTTATAAGCTACAGGACTCAAAAAGCATGTAACAGGTTATGTGTATGCTAATGTTTTTTCTCCCGACCACACAGACGAGCACCACCAGGAAAATGCAGCATCAAGCCTTCGCCTGTTAAGATAAAGGGAAAGCTGATTCATTTCCGCCCCAAAGAAGGTAAGCAAAGCATTAAAAGGATGATTCTTCTTCTTCCTAGTTTTCTTCTGTTCCACTTTTATTTTTGCTGCTGTTTTATACAAACATTAGACTGTTAGCCAGATGCACTCTACCACAACTTTATTAGAGCTTTATCTGTATACTAATGTGTATTACTCTCATTATCTTGTCAATACACATCATGTAGTTAAATAATATGGACAGACTGAGTAGGTTTTGCTGTGGTATAAAAGTTAATTTTTTTCCTTTCTTGTTTTCAGAGTTCGTAGTTAATAAGAAACCGACCACCACACCTGTTCCGACGACGACCACAAGAAAACCTACTACTACAACAAGAAAGTCACCACGAAAACATATAAGGATAATAAAGCCACCAATGCCAACAAGAAAAACAACGAGAAAAACGCAACTACCATCACCACCAACGACGGCAACACGAAGCACATTACAGACAACAAGAAAAACAACAGTGAGAAAGACAACCTTACCGCCAACTATAAAAGCAACAGCAATGATAAAAACAACCTCAGCCACAACAATAAAACCAACAACTGTCAAGATGGCCATGGCAACAACTCCCGCCCCAACCACACCCACTGGTAGGCCTACTGGTGCACCTGGTTACCAAACCAGCCCCATTGGTTACCCAACTCCTAAGTCAGCTGTTAATCCGAGCACTAAACCGATTGTTAGGATTAACAGTAAACCTACCAGCAGAGCAGTGCATGCCGTGCCGCGAGGAGAAGCCACCAGCATCAGACCAGGTGGCTTCTTTGTCTGTGCTTTATCTTGGCTTTACATTTTAACATGTTAACAACTAAATGATCATTTTCCATCACCAGGCATGTTTTCAAATGGAACTTTCTTTACAATTAACTCACAATCATAAAATCACACCACTCCTAGATAAGAAAACTGTACATTACAACTTTGCAAAATTTTCACAGCGGTCTTAAATGCTATAAATGTTAATGGCAAACTTTCTAATGATGCAAAATGATAGTTATATAGCATTAGTTTAAAAATATGGCAGCTAAGTCTTTGATGCTTTACTGTAAATATGCAATTTGACCAATTTTTGGATTTTTCTATCAGTTTGTCATACTGCAGGCAGATGCGGACTTTAATATAGTGCAGCTGTGGTTATTTTAGAGTGTTGATTAAAGCTCCACAACAATTTTACTGCATTGCAAAAAACCATAATAGTGTATATTTCTTATCGCTACCTAGCAAAAATTATCCAAAAATGAGACAGTCACATATTTATTTTAAATTATTCATTAGATTGGTTGGCAAAGTCATCTTAAAAAAAGGTTTTACAATCCACTAAAATGACTGAACTCATAATTATTGTCATTACTCCTGAGAAATCAATATATTGTAGCTATATCTAAACAGGTAATTGATTAATACAATTTTGTTCTTTAACCTGTACTTTTTATCAGTCTTTACACGTACTCTGCAGCATCTCTGCAGTGGAAGACTAAAATGAAAATTTTAGTCATAAACCTTTTTAAATGGAATCATAAATGTAAAATGTAAAAATGCAGTAGAATTGCTGGAAAATTAATATTAATTACAAAAACAACTGTTAAAAGTATGTTATTAATTCATAGGTTTACCTGTATAGATATAAACTGTGGATGCACCAGAAGCTTGTATTAGACTCAGGTGACCGTCATTCAGAACTTTAATTCCTGTTAGTGTGCTTTTCTTTGCTGATACATGAATCTAAAGCAGGATTAATGGTGGTTATTTATGTTTCGAGTATTTGCACTACCTAAAACTTAAATCAGGTACATTGACATTATTTATTGTGAATAAAGGGTTCTGCATCAGTCTCAGTTTGGACATTCATCTTTGTGTGTGAGTGTGTTTGTCTTTTTTGTTTTTTTTTACTATTCTTCGAGAAGAAAAATTCTTTAAATGTCTTTTGTGAGCAGTCAGGTCATGGAAGGTGCTCAGTGAACATAAAGCAGCAATTTTGTTGAATTAGTTACAGGAATGATTCGATAATTTTCAAACCACTCATTTGTTTGTTAGTTTTTTTTTTGTTGGTGGTGTTTTTTTCCTGATGTATATAAGGCTACAGCCAAAATCTGGTTAGCTTAAAGCATAAAGACTGTAAAACTGGGCAAACATCTGGCTTGGTTCTGTCAGAAGAAAATAAAATCCGCCTTGTTGAATCTAACTGGTATACTTCTAAAAACAAACAAACGAAAAAAGTGGTAAAACAACAATTTGTAGTTTACAGGAGATTATGTCCATCTCTTAACCGGGTGCAGTGAATTCCTGTACACTTTTAGACTTAGGTTTCTGCAAGGATGTACAGTTAAAAAAACAGCACAAAGGGTATCTGTTGTTCCCAGACCAGCTGTTTCCCTCTGTTTCTGTCTTTATGATAAGCTAACTGAATGCCTCATATTTAGGCCACAGATACAGTTTGAGTGATATATCAAATAACACCTAATATGTTTGTTTCCCAGAACATCTAACATGCCTATAAAGAAAAAAAAGAAACATCTAACATTGTGAAACTCTATATTCAAATAAAGAGGGTGATTCTGTCTTTCCTTCAGGTTATCGCACATCGCCTGTCACCTCCTCTAGGATCGCTCAAACCCCAGTCATCATGACAGCTCAACCAAGGAGGCCTCTTCAGCACCCATCTAGTACTACCCCTCAACCTTTAACCTCACCACAGCCTTCTGCATCCACAACACCTCTGAAACGACATTCTATGGCTCTGACCTCTGCATGTTACCCTGAGCGTCTTGGAGTGTTGACCACACCACAACCATCATATTGGAGCCACAAGCCCCAGAGACCACCAACCAACACCACATTGCCTAAAGCACAGGAAGAGAAGCTGTGGCTGGGAGAGAAACTTGACAGACCTGGGGAGGGCAATCAGATATATAAGAGGCCCAGAGGACGTGGCAGAGGTCACGGTTACAAAAGAGGAAGAAGAGGGAGAAGGCTGAGGGTTGGCTCAGTGCGGCTGGTGAGCACCGATGGTTTATCAGATCGAGGTAGAGTGGAGATCTTTATCCGAGGGGAGTGGGGAACAGTGTGTGATGACCTTTTCACTAGCAAGGCAGGCACAGTGGTGTGTCGACAGCTCGGCTTTGCGACGGCGCTGGCAGTGATGAAGAGGGCTGCGTTGGGGGAGGCACACAGCAGCGTCAGAATCTTTCTGGATGACGTGGAGTGTGACGGCGGGGAGAGATCACTACTGGAGTGCAAGAGAGCCATGGTTGGGAAACACGACTGCTCACATGAGGAAGATGTAGGGGTGATCTGCGGCTAGCGCAGAGGGGTTAAAAGTAAAGGTATAGGAAGACAGTGGAGTAATGTATAGTACTGTCACACACAGGAAGTGACAGGATTGGGAAGAATCAAGCACAGAAGAAGAGAGTATTTGCAGAATTTACAGTATTATAGATTATTACAGACCTTACACTTTAAGCAACAATGTCAGTGACATCACGTTGCTTTATTTTTTCATGTTTACTTGTTTTACATTCAGTAGTGTGGCTCCGTTTCTAGATTCCAGCCCCTTGCTAAATGCCAAATGTCCGTCTAACATTGCCTTAAAATACTTTCTATGCACTTTTAACAAAGGGCAGAGGAGAATGCCCCTTTCTCTGGCTTAGTCTGATTTATTTGAAGGGAGTTTCTCTTGAATCTAATCAGCCTGCTAATTATTAAACTAAATTAAACATTTTAGTTTAGCTGCTGACATTTTCTAAGCCTACTCACTCTTAAGCCTTGTGTAATGTTTTGGTAAAATCAACATTCACGGCAGCAATCAAACTAAATCAAGTCATTTCAGTGACTTCAGTGAAATGTGGCTTGGCTTGTAAATTCATACCACCTACCATCCAAATTTATAACACTTTGCACAAATTGTACAGAAGAAACAAGGCATCCACTTCACCACTTAAACCACATCTACTCCTAATAGTAGTGACACCGGCTGGATGGGACAACTAATGTTCCCTTGAAATATCTGGTATAACTGTGTGGTTATTGAACAAGAGTCCAAAATATTTAAAAGGACCCTCGAGTGCATTTTGATGTGTCACGTTCTAGTGTGACCTGGCACACTTACTGCCAAACTGATCCATTTTTAAATCAATCGAGACAATGCAAAGCAGTAACCTTAAAAAGAGCCTTATTGGAAAAGTGCAACTAGTGATACTGACTAGAGTGTAGATTTCAGGGGTGTTGATTGTTCAGTTAAGCACAAATTTTTCATAAAAAATGTTTATTTATTCAATATAAACTGAGTTAGCTGAGAAACTTTAATGCCATTCCAGTGGCTCTGTTCAGATATTCACTATGGAAAAAAGGCACCCAAATCTGTTAAAAAAAAGTCAACTGTGTTCTGAGAAGATATTTGTATTTTTGTATTGAATCATTTCGGCAGGACTATTTTCTATGTGGATTTCAATACCTTCTTGAATGTAGTTTTAAGATGATGTTTTATAAAGGAAATGCTGGACATTCTGTACAATGAATGTAATAAAATGCCTCCAGAGTTATATAAAGATAATTAACGAGACAGCATGCATATGATATAAATAAAGTTTACTGCAAAATGATTTTCTTGTAATTTTCTGTTATTCTTTTGGGATGCCAATGCATTTTAATGAGCGACACAATGATTCTCTTTGATTTTTTTTCCAATAGTACATTCTGCCTAAACTGGGTGATAGGGTAGAGTATAGCACTTAGTGTAGTGGAAAATGTTTGTCATGAATAAGAGTGTATGGGTACAGAAAAACAGTCAATAAAAAGAGAAAAAAAACAAACAGGTTGGACTCTTTTAAAAATTAACTTATCCAACAGCATCTATGACTTGGGGGAGGAGTTTTAGATGCAAAAATTTCTATATGCACTCACAGTGTAATTTAATCAAAATATCAAGGGCATATTCAGGGCAGTCTTCCTCCATCCAGAAGCCTGAGGATGCACTGACCAACACAAACATGATTCCTTAATTTGTTGGTTGAGACAAACATTTGTTGAAATATATTTAGTACATACAGTATTTATTCACCATAAGCATATCTCTGACACAGGCTACATAGTGCATGGTAAGAAGCAATCCATTACAGAACACCCTGCAGTTGCAAACATCAACACAAGGGAGAGCCATAACCCTGTGCAATTTATTACAGCTGCATATTTATACACACTAGTGGTCTGCTGTTGACCCAGATTCATGGTGAAAAAACACATATATACATTAACAGAAATGCAAATGTGCATATGCATTTAAATTTTTGGAGATGCACATGCTGTTATGGGGGCAGAAATGACTACAGAAGAGTGGCAATACTCTTTGCCCTAGACAATTTAACTGTGACATGAACTATGGTGGGCAGCATGGTGGAGCAGTGGTTGGCACTGTCACCTCACAGCAAGAAGGTCACAAGTTCGAGTTTGCATGGTGTGCCTGTGCGGGTTCTCTCCAGGTACTCCACATGCCAAAAACATGCAGCTTAGGTTGGTGACAATAAATTGCCCATAGGAGTGTGTGTGGTTGTCTGTCTCTAAGTGTCAAACCTGTGATTGACCTCTCCAGGGTGTGTCCTGCCTCTCATCAGATGGGATTCATCATGTTTTCTTATTACTCCCTTGCTCTGCTCTGTCTATTCTGCCAGTTCTATCAGTCTGTCTCTACCTCTCTTTCCAAGTAAAGCATAAATATCACATAAATAAACTTCAGAACCAGAACTGCTACATCTCTAAAGAATGTAGCAGGATTTACTCAGATTTATACCCAATGCAAATATTTAATACATTCCTCACTTATTCTAACATCTCTGCATGGAGTATGGTTAAAATTGAGGTTAGGGCAAGTTGATTGGGTTTAAAGTGAAGTAGCTAAAACAGTTGTATGGGGAGAGAGATCGTGGTTAAAGAGTAAATAAACAAGAAAGCTGAGAAGCAGTTTTTTACTTCCCTCTCTGGCTGAGTTTTAAACCTGAATCACGGATGTGTGTAGTTGGTGTTGCACCTGCAAATACACCTTAACACAAATGTAATGAACACTTTCACATCACTGCAGCAAAGTCAGAACTTAAACCAATCACATTTGGCAATGACAAGATTTTCAGGCAGTGTTGAGTTACTCTTTAAGGTTTATGAAATAATAACTGTTAATTGCAAATCTGTGAAGGAAAGCAAATATATTATACTGCAAGGTTGGATATTTATATGTGGTTGCAAGCAAAGAGGGGGTGGTTCTGTGATGCTGGAACACACTATTGAGCCTTCTTGATGTTGTGGGTAAACCTAGTTAGTGAGAGGGTGTCCAACTGATGATCCTGTAGACTTGCGTGCAGTTTTACACTCACACAGAATTTGTATTGACATTAATGATCATATAGTTATTAACTCAGTAGGGTTGTTAGTATTGTATTTTTTCTTATGAGTGACAATCTTGGTAGAAAGGTATCAGTGATTGGAAAATTGAGTGGAGCCTGGCTTTCAGATGTGACCCATCAAGCCAGTGGGGTCGGCCACTATAACCCAAGCAAACACAATGCAGATGCCAGCCACATATCTGCTCTTTGCTTTGGTGAGGATAAGCTTCAGGGATGCTCTGTGTTAAGAGTAGGTTAGGTCTGTAAAACAGTGTTGCTTATCGTGGGGGTCTGAAGATTTATGATGTCATGGTCTGACACCACCCTCTTTGGGGTCAAATAATGTAACTGTCATGTAACTTGTATACTGAGCTTCTATATGAATGCTGTCCCATTTCTTGGCACATTTAATTGTGTAGTGTCAGCTATTTCTTTAGCAGAAAACAAATACAAGGTCAGTAAACACTCTATTTCCAGAATGTAGCTCTTTACTATCAGGATGTTCCAGTAAGTCCCTAAAAACCAAACCTCCAGATAATCCAAAATGCTGCAGCCAGAGTACTGACAGGAACTAGCAAGACACATCACATTGCTCCTATATTAGCTTCTGTCCATGGCTCCCTGTAAAATCCAGAACAGACTTTAAAATCCTTCTAACATACAAAGCCCTTAATGACAAAGCTTGATCGTATCTTAAAGACCTCATAGTGCCTTATCATCCCAACAGAGCACTTTGCTCTCAGAGTGCAGGTTTATTTGTGGTTCCTAGAGTCTACAGAAGTAAAATGGGAGGCAGAGCCTTTAGCTATCAAGCTCCTCTCCTGTGGAACCAACTCCCCATCTCAGTTTGGGAGGCAGACACCCTCTCTCTACCTTTAAGATTAGACTTAAGACTTTCCTTTTTGATAAAGCTTATAGTCAGGGCTGGATCAGGTGACCCTGAGCCTTCCCTTAGTCATGCTGCTATAGGCCTAGGCTGCTGCGGGTCCTCCCATGATGCTCTGAGTTTCACTCCTGTCCTCTTTTTCCATGCATCTATATGCCAGCATTACATGTAACTAACTGTGTGTTTCCTCTCTCCCGTAGCATGCATTTGCTCTCTTCCTGTACTTTTCTGCAGGTAGCCCTGGCTCTGAAGCTGTATGTTTCTGATGAGCAGTCACCGGCCACATCAACCTGCCCAGGGTTTGATTGTTTGTTGTTGTTTGTTGTGTCCTGTTGCTTTTCTTCTTTTGTCTCTCCTCTATCCACTCACCCCAATCAGTTGAGGCAGAAGGCCGCCCACCAAGAGCCGGGGTCTGTCGGAGGTTTCTTTCATTAAAGGGAGTTTTTCCTCCCCACTGTCGCCAAGTGCTACTCAAGGGGGATTTGTTCAGTTTTTCTCTGATAATAATAATAAGGCCTAGACCTTACTTTGTAGAGTGTACTGAGATGACATTTGTTGTGATTTGGTGCTATACAAATAAAACTGAAATTGAAATATATTTAAATTTGCTTATTCTCTCAATCTTATCTTGTCTACCCGTTGTCTTATGGAGGAACATCGTGCATACACACTGAGAGCCACTGTACCAGAGTCAAATTCCTCATGTGTTCAACACACCTGGCCAATAAAGCTGAATTCAATATGTTTATTTATTTTGTACACACATTAATTATGGAAGAGGGATCCTCCCTCTGCTGATCTTCCTTTTGTCCTTTTTTTTTTTTAATTAAAGAGTTTTTGGGAACTTTTCTTTATCCGATTCAAGGGACTAAGAACAAAGGGTGTCCTATGTTGTACAGACTATAAAACAATATTCAGTGTAAGCAATGAACTTGTTCAGTCAAAATAGCACACTCAAACACATACACATTTGTGCAGACACACACACCCTTTCCGTCTGGCTGCCAGCACAGATGGTGGCACTGCGTGATGCTAGAGGCAAAAAGGACAGCTCTAACCAGCTACACACAAACAAAACAAATGAAGTGATAGATATACATGTCAAACTTTACACATGCATGCCCTGGTGATCAGTGTGGGGAACAAACACATCTGGGCATACAGCACATGTTAACAACCAAACACAGTGTCCCTCTTTCTTTGTCTGGTCACACAAACCTAATGTTTCATCTGTCGTGTTCAGTGACTTGGTCACTGCTGTGTAACTTGGTCACAGAGAATGTGTGCTGTGTGTGTTTGTGTGTGCTTGGCTGCAGCACTGTGGACCTCCCTTACATATATACTTTATATATTCTCTGTTCAGACTTTGATCAATTTGCAGCAGTGGCTTCACACTGTAGAAAAACCTTCGATGTGATTTGTTTTAGTGTGTTTAGCTGCACTGTATT